TCTAAGTGTTCTACTCTGCTGGTAGTATTCTCAATTGAGTTTTTAAGTTGGTTTATTGCTTCCTGCATTTCTAGGATTTCTGTTTGTTTGTTTTTAATTACCTCTATCTCGCTGAATAGTTGATCTTTTGCCTCTTGGATTTGTTTATGTAATTCATTGTCGAAGTGATCTTTCATTGTCTGATTTTGCTGTCTAATGTCTTCCTTGAGACTCCAGATCATCTGAAGCATGTATATCCTGAATTCTTTATCCGACATTCCATCTGCCGCAGCTATTACCTCTTCTAAAGTTGAGTTGACCTGCATTGCTTGTGGTCCTTTCTTTCCTTGTCTTTTCATTCTGCTCGTGTTTCTTTCTGCTTGGTGAAACTGTTGTGTTTTTGAAATTCTCCCCCTATATATTTATATTGCTCTTGTATAGTTGAAAAGTCTCCCTTGCAGGGCGGGCAGCGGCTGTGCTCCTCCTCCAATTGGGGTGATCTGCCTACCACGCTGGCGGGCCGCTGGTTCTGTTCTGCCGGTCGGTCGCAGGTCTGCCTACCTTGTAGGCGCGGGCGGCAGCTCTGCTGTACCCCTCCTCCAATTGGTGTGACGTGTCTAACACGCCTGCGGACCCCTGGGCCTGTTCTGCCGGTCGGTCGCAGGTCTGCCTACCTTGCAGGTGCAGGCGGCGGCTCTGCTCTGCCCTTACTCCAATTGAGGTGACATGTCTACCACACCCGCAGACCCCTGGGCCTGTTCAGGATGCGTGACTTCCATGCCGGCGGGTCGCTGGGCCTGTTCCGGGCGTGGGCGGCGGCTCTGCTCGGCCCCTACTCCAATTGGGGTGACGTGTCTACCACGCCAGCAGGCCTCTGGGCCTGTTCCCCCAGTGGGTCGCAGGTCTTCCTACCTTGCAGGCGTGGGCGGCGGCGCTGTTCTGCCCTTACTCCAATTGGGGTGATGTGTCTACCACGCCGGCAGGTCGCTGGGCCTGTTCCGGGCGCGGGAGGTGGCTCTGCTCTGCCCCTACTCCAATTGGTGTGACGTGTCTACCACACCGGCAGGCCGCTGGGCCTGTTCCCCCAGTGGGTCGCAGGTCTGCCTACCTTGAGGGCTCAGGCAGCGGCTCTGTTCGGCCCCTACTGCAGTTGGGGTGAAGTGATACCACGCTGGCGGGTTGCTGGGCCTGTTCCAGACGTGGGCAGCGGCTCTGCTCTGCCCCTCTGGCCTCCACAGTATTCAGCAGGACCCGGACTGAGAAGCAGTTTCCACGGGTTCTTTAGCCCTGGGCCAGAGCAGTTCCGGGAGCCAGAATTCGGCCGCTCTGGGCTCGGTGTATGTTCTGATAGGAGCAGGCTCCAAGAAGCAGTTTCTGCAGGTTCTTTAGCACTGAGCCTGAGTAATTTGTCTGCGAGACACAGGTGAATGGCAGCCTGAAATTACCTGTTCTATAGCTGAATGAGCTGCGATCAGTCGAAAACAGGGATTGTGACGTCAGCTCTCCAAGATGGTGGCCGCTGGCTTCCTCTGTGGTCTGACCGGTGTGGAGAACCGAATTGGACCGCTTCCTTCCCCCATCTCAACCCCAGAATTCAGCACTGAGTACAGTAATTGCACAGCTGGCAGGAGCCCACAGAATCCGCAGCGCTGTATCTTTGCGTTGCTATCTCATCGTTTCCCAGCGCGCACCACAGATTCTAGCCGTGGGGTGATTTGCTGAATAAGCAGCATGACCCTCCGTGCGGACAAATCGCTCGCGTTTGAGCCCCCGTAGCTGATCTTCATGAGATGAAAATCCTTCCACTAGGTTTTGGAGCACCCAAATTTTGCTGGATATTCCTAACAAGATAGCTTTTAGCTGATCTAACTCGTCATTCTCCCGCACAGTGACGCGGTACACGGGGGTGATGCACTCCCTTCGCCTCCATCTTCCGAGACCTCAAAAGTTGATCTTGTTTCCTACTTCTCTGAAGAAATTAAATCAATCAGAAGAGAATTTCAATGGAACCTCACTACCAATGGACTTCCAGCAGCATCTGTACACACACACTCTGCCTTCCTGCTGGAATCCAAGGGATTAGATGTGCTTCTGCCAAAGCCCCTGTGCACAGATCCTAGGCCCCCTCGTCTATGCCAGTCCTTTTTATTTATTTTATTTTTTTTAGTTTGAAACAGGGTGTCACTAAGATGCCGAGGTCCTTGAATTGTCAAGAGCAACCTCTGCAGGTGCTAGGAAACTGAGACCGCCAAATTTTAGCCTTGAATTTGCCATCCTTCTGCCTCAGCCTTCCAAATTGCTGAGATTACTGATGTGCACCACCACACCTGGCCTGTTTTTTAGCTGCCTCAACTTTTAGAAAGTTGTTCCATCAAGTGTGTGATGCCCAATTCTAATTCATGATATATTAAACCCTTGATTTTGAGTTTACTTTTATATATGTCCTAAGGTATTTAAATGTATTTCTAAATTGTTATTTAGTCATCTCAATATTACTTATTCAACATTTCCCCTCGTTATTTTGAGCATGGTGGCATAAAAAGACTGGGCTTTTGGACAGAATAAATGTGGGTGAAATTCTGACTCTGGATATCATTCCCCTTCTGGTTTTAGGATAACCTCTTCCCAAAAAGAAGCTGGACTGTACTCCTATGCTTTGTCTCTGGTGCTAGGAAGGTAGCACAGCATCCTGGAAGAGACTGAAACTTCCATTCTAGCCCTGTGTTCCCACCACCCTCAAGTCAGTCCCAAGTCTGAGGACCTGGACCCTTGTGCCAGGTATGTAGAGAGCCTGTCAGATGTCTGCCTTGCTGTGAGTCTGGGTGGCATAGGGCAGTGGGACCTGTGTTAGAACCAGAATGCAGCTACGGCTGAGTGGGGACCTTTGCTGGAGCTGTAGGTAGGCACACATGAAATCGCCAGTTTAACCAAACAGAAAAGAACAACAATGCTCAGTGCCTCCAGGAAGAGAAGCAAGGCAAAGGTGCTAACCATCTCCCTGCACGTCTGCCATGCTGTGAGGGAAGAAGTCTGCCAACTTTGTTTGGAATAGGTCTAGACAGGTCACTGTCATTCTTGATTGTGTTCTGTTCTGTAACCAAACGCCGTTGACCACTTGCAGTATGCTGTGTGTCCCCACATCTTCCCACCGTGCCTGTGTCAAGAGCATCCTCTGTAGGTGCTAGGAAACTGACACCATCAGGACCCAGTGGCCTGCCTTTTGCTGTTTCTGGCTAGATCAAGATCAAATACCTACTGAGTTTGTGATCCTCAATTGGCCCACAAATGGCAGTAGCAAACTTGTAGAGTCAGCCTGGGCTGGGGTTCTTTCTGTCTATACAAAGTGAAATAGACTCTAAGGCTGTATACAAATACTACATTTTACGTAAAACAATTCAGCATTTATGGAAGACTTTTTTTTAGGTACTGGGGATTGAACTCAGGGTTACTTTACCTCTAAGCTATATCCACAGTCCTTTTCATCTTTTATTTTTAAACAAGGCCTCACTAAGTTGCCAAAGCTATGCAACTTGCAATCCTCCTCCCTCAGCCTCTTGAATTGCCAGGATTACAGTCATTGCCCAGCCTCAGGAAGACTTTTGGTGTATTGGGGTAGAATCCAGGGCCTCATGTGTGCTAGGCAAGTGTTCTACCACTGAACTACAAGCCTAGCCCACAAAGAAATTTTATTTTATTTAAATTGTGAAGATAATTTCCCATTTGAGGAAAAGAAATATGACATTTAGGTTAACTTGTCCTTTAATTGCTCATTTAGTTTAAGATAAATTATTCTTGTTAATGGAGCAGAAATTGGCCTTAATCAAAGGCATAGTGGAAAGTTTTTCTGTCCATCAGTCTCCTTTTTGAAGATAATAGCTCTAATTTATTTTTAAAGTGAAAACACAATTTACCAGTTCAACCCAGAGACTATAATTTACTTACTCTTCCTTGTACACTCAGCCTTGGTTACCACTCACGAGTGTTCACACTTGACCTTTCCAAGCGCTATGTCAAAAGTCTCACTAGTGGATCTGAACAAAGCTGTCCAAGCTAAAACTGATCCAGGGACAAGACACAGACAAGCTCATGGCCAGCATTCTCAGATAGGAAAACCAGAAAATAAGAAGCAGATATGAGGCTTTCTGGGAAATAAAAGATCTCTTATTTCTGTACACTGAGATTATGTAAATTAGGTAGAGATGGACATTATTTCTACTTCTTACATAAAGGAATTAGAGGAGGAAATCACAAAATTGTAGGAATAGTTCTTAAAGTATTTGGAACTTTACAGTGTTTTCTTGGCATCGTGCCAGCTATACATAGGCACTTAGACTGTGCAGATCCTTATGCCTCAACAGGTCCCTCGGGGTTTGTTCCTCCAGATGTGACATTTCCTTTGCTGCTTTTCCTCACCTCCCTTTCCAATCATGGGACTGTTAGTCTCCCTGGCAAGTAAAGTGACAAGATCTTTCATTATAAAGATCAATAGATCCACATATGATTTTTATTTTATTGTAGAAGCTTGGCTAGGAAGGAAACAGCTAATTATGAGATGAATCATTTAACAAGCTGGGAAAAGAAATCCCTTATGTAGTGGTTGACAAGCCACCAGATTTCCACAAAATAGGTTTCTATGTAATTTCAACTTTGACTTATTTTCTCCTAGATCTAAAGAACCTCCCTAATCAGGATTGGTGTATGAACTGAGTAGCAGAGCTGTAGGCCTTGCAAAGATCAGTTGCTCACCTAAAGATGCCTCTCCAGCATCTCCCCCCACCCCATCAATCACTTCCATCCACTGGACTCTTCCTATTGGCACATTGTAGGGACCTTGGGTTTTGCTCTGTATGAAATGGAGAGTCACTGGAAGATTTTCAGGAGGTGTAGTGATTGGCTCAGGTTTTCCCAGTTCTCACTGGCTCCTCTGATGACACTAGACTAGAGGAGGACAAGGGCCAGGAGGTATTAGGAGAATGGTGGGTGGCCATTATTTCTCTCTATTGTGATTCCATTTGTCATTAGTGACCTCCTTGTTTCCTTGGCCCCAACCACACTGCTCTCCTTGTGGTCTCAGGCCCTCTGCCTGGAATGCTCCTCCAGACACCTGCGTGCCTTCTTCTTCCCTTCTTCAGCTGTTTGCTCACGTATCCCCATCTCACTGAAGCCTTCCCACCCTTACTATTGAAAATTATACCCCCTCCAACCACTAGCCCTCGCTACCCTCTTCACTGCCTTGATTCCTCCTTTGCACTGATCAGCATCTGGCCTGTAGGTATTTATCTCATTGATTATGCCTGGCCTCCTGGTCTGTGCAGACTGAGCTTCATGAGGGATCTTGTCCGCTGTCATATCATTACTGGGTGCACAAGATCCCACCCGTGTAGGAGCAGACTAGGCCATAATGTTCTCTGCTCCAGAAATATTCAGAGTCACATTGGTAGGAAAATAAGTTTTATTCAAATCCAGCTTTGAAGGAAGATGGAAGAAACTTCATTGTTTCAACAGTTCCATCTCTGAAAAGCTCTGGGACAAGGAAAGGTTTTAAGAGGGGAAGGGGTAGATTAGGATAAAGATAGGATTCCCACAGCTTCTACCTCCTTCTTAGTTCTAAAAGGAGTTATCACAGGTATTTCACTGGTTCTTGGAGCCTCCTTATACCCAAAGGAGCCACTCTCTTTGGGCCACTATCTTTATCTTCCTAATTTCAGGAGATTGGGAAGGGGAGGCTTCCAAATTCAGTTTGTTTCAACACCTAAAGCTGAGCCTGGCTCAAGTGGGTATTCGTGGATGTCTGAAGCAAGCCTTGGCCTGGCTGTTTTCTGGCAGTGGGGTTCAGGGCACGTCACAAGCCAAGAGAACAGAGCATACTTGCAGAGAGTAAGCACATTGTCACTCAACTGTGCATCCATATAGGTCTCCCTACAGCTCAGTCTCCTATGTCAGAGGCCTTTCAATGAAACAGATTATGTTCTGCCTTGCCAGGCCAGGCACACATACCCACAGTCAGTATTTTCTCTAGGGTCCAAGTCCCAACCAGCTCTAAAGATGAGTCACTTGGATTAAAAAAAGAAAAGAAAAGAAAAGAAAAATCCCTGATTCTGTCATAGGAAAACAGGGAGCTGAAACTCTAAATCTTGGTTCTTGTGTTCTGACAAAAGAAAACTTAAAGTCAGACACCAAAAAATATGCAAGACAGTTTTATTGTAAGTAAAGTGAGGTAAAAGTAAAAGCAAGGCAAGGCTCAAGCAGAGAGAGTGGGCCACCTCCAAGCAAGAGGAATGACAAAGGAGCCAACGCTGTATCTAAACTATTACTGTTTGATGCTTCTCAGGTGTCCAGCTCTCCTTCACATCAGGCGGTAGAGGTTTTGACCTTAGTTGGTCCTCTGCGGAACTGTCATGGTGGTCATCCTATTTAGAGGGGCTTCGTCTACAAGTCAATCCCATGTTAATGTGGGCTCTGGGGTCAGTAGCTGGTCAGAAGTTATCTTAGTGCCCCGTGCTACTAAAGGAATCCTCCTTCCTACGCAAATGGAGACACCTATGGCCATAATTCCTAGCATCACATCAACCTCAATGGACCCTGTCAAGAGTTAGTCCCATTAATCCTTTTAACATATTTTCCAGTTAGCTCCTTTACTTCTGTTTATTTTCTATAAATTAACTACCATCCAATGCTTTCTCAGAAATTAGTTTAAAGGAGACCCTAAAATAATTAAAAGAATGCTTGTGACCTTACCATGCATTTCTCTGTTCATTGCTGTCTACTACCTAACAACTTCATAACACCTTATTCCCAGGGAGCCTTGTACCCTAATTTGCCTGTACATACTGTCCTGAGCTAGCACCTGCCATTTTAAAACTAAATACCCGCTTCTGCTGCCTGATCAGCCCTTCAAAGTCTTTGCCCCAACCTGGTTTGGTTTTTCCCAATACCCTGTGTATGATCCTGCTGCCAAGTACCATGTGATAACAGTCTGGGGGCTGTCCCAGTTCCTTAAGTCCTGCTGATAGGTAATAGATGTAAATGGAGGGAATGTGAGGTTAAGGGGATAATTCTATAAACTGGGCCTACTGTCCTGACCCCCACTTGCCTTCTTTTAAATAGCAACTTCCCTATAAGTGACTGGGATCTAGTATATTCCTTAGCAAATAACCTGTTATCTGCAGGAAAAATACAAGGCCAAAAAGCTCCTCCCTGCCTATAAGAATACAAGTTACCCTGAAAAGATTTTTGTGACTTTTATGCAGACCAGATTAAGGAATTCAGGGAGATGATGATAGTAGAAGCAAGCCCCCTAACCATAAAATCTGTAAGAACAAGTTCAAATTGTAATGGTCAGCATGGGCCAAAGTGACCCATGGTTGCCTTGGATTTTTAGCATGTCGCCCCTCCATGGGGTAAGACCCTGTACAGTGGGACTTGGAAATCTGATGCAATCCTGCTGTCAGTCAAAAGTCAAGAATTTGGCCTGGGACCCCCAATAAAACTGGAAGGCAGGAGGCACACACCATCCCTCTCCTCTCTGGGAGGACCCATTCTCTCCCATGAGCGTGTCTCCTTTTTCCCTTGCCTAACCTTTCTAATAAACTCACGCATGCTATGTCTGAAATCTTTCTGGTGTTATCACAAGAACCAAACCACAGTAGCTACCTCAGTTCTGTGGTGGGCCCTTGCTCTGTAACACTGCCATTTTAAAACTAAATACCCCCTTCTGCTGCCTGATCAGCCCTTCAAAGTCTTTGCCCCAACCTGGTTTGGTTTTTCCCCAAGACAATGCCAAGCACAGAGGGGAAAACAGCCTTACAGCCTTGGTTAAAATATCTCCTGGTTCACCAGTTGTGAGACAGACTGAAATTAAGGGAAACTTCCTGATAAGTTGTTTTCTACATCCTATCTTTCCTTATACCAAGAGTAAAGGCTAACGGGCTGCCCATGCCACCTGCCTGGCCCAGAGCACAGCAAGGAAACTGAGAGTGGGGATGACCCCTGCCCCACCTGACCCCACTGACAGTTCTCAGTCCCATAACTGCATCTGCATATGTATATTTGCTGCCTGTTGTCCCACTTCGCAGCCTCCTCTGCAAATCTGATGCAGCCTCTTCCCTTATAAAAGATTTCCTGGCCTTCAGTTTTCCTGAAAATAGAAATTTGAAACATAAAGTAGTTTATTCTATCTTCCTTCGAAGCTGGCTTTGAATAAAACCTATCTTTAAAAAATTATCGGTATATAGTGGGATTCATTACATATTCCTATGCACACAACATGATCTGGGCAGTTTCATTCCCTAGTACCCTCCTCTTTCCCTCCTCTCCTCCCTTCCCTGGTCTCCTTCTTCTACTCCACTGGTCTGCCTTCTATTTTCATGAGATTCCCTCCTTTTTTTTCTCTGGAGCTTCCACATATGAGAGAAAACATACCTATTTTCCTGCAAGTTCGGCTCTGAATATTTATGAAGTACAAGTGATTATAGTTCTGCCCAGTGACATTTAGGGTAAGCAAAGGGTTGCGCCTGTTTTTATTGTAATTATTCATTCTGTCCTGCCTCATTAAACTTGCCAACATTCAAGTAGGAATACCTGCTTAAATCTGCAGAGCCTCTTCTAATTGACCTACCTTTGTTCCTGCACAGATGATTGCCACTTACAGCTTTCCTACCAGGCTCCTTCTATAAATAATATAGATCTTATGTTCTCAAAATAAAAAGGAATATGATATCTTGTTCATTCCAGTTTACTTATTTTATTGGATTGCAAGTTTCTTAGATTTAAATGCTCTGTTTGGACTGGGGTTGTGGCGCAGTGGTAGAGCACTTGCCTAATATGTGGGATGTGCTGGGTTCAATCTTCAGCACCACATATAAATAAATAAATAAGGTAAAGATTAAATAAATAAGATAAAGATTAAATAAGATAAAGATTAAATAAATAAATGTTCTATGTTCATGAATCTTTGGTACAGAACTCTCTGTTGAGATCAGAAGGTCCTGTACTTGCCACTATTAGCCCCAGGAACTCCTAATGTGCCACCAATTGAGACTGGCTCATTGACCTCTACCCCAGTCTCAATTTCCACACATCTTAAATCATTGACTTATACTTTGGAAATATTATCAACATAACTTTGAAGAGGTACTTTTGGGGTCAGAAAACATGGACCAGTCACAGTTCAGCAGAAACTAAAGGCCAGGAGGATATGGTATTATGTATTTCAAGTCCTGAAATAAAATAACAGCTAATCTAATTACTATATTCAGCAAAGTTATCTTTCAGAATTTAAGATGAAATAAAGGCCTTCCAAGATAAATATGAACTGAAGGAATTCATGACCACTAAAAGCATCACTACAGAAGATATTTAAAGGAATCCTATTCTCAAAAGAAGAAGCAAGACAAATACAATCGCAAGCACACAGGAAAAAATAAGTCACTAGAAGAGTAGACAAGCAAATGAGAATTAAACATGATTATCTCAGTAAAAAATCATGCATTTTTGAAGCCACCGGAGCCCAATTTCCTGGCTTATGAGGTCCTAAGCGAACAGGCCATTTTCCTAGGGCAGTAAGAAGCCACTCAAGATTCACATCCAGACCTGAGTGACTCCCAAGCCTGTAGTCCTAAGTATTATCTGTCTGCCTCCCCAAAACAGTAGTTGCCATTTATCGAACACTGGTCCTGTGTGCGGTAGTTTGTTTGTTTTCTATTTTGGAACCAGGGATTGAACCCAGGGGCACTTAACCACTGAGCCACATCCCCAGCCTTTTTTTTTTTTTCCCCTAATATTTTATTTAGAGACAGGGTCTCACTGAGTTGCTTAGGGCCTCCCTAAGTTGCTGAGGCTGGCTTTGAATTCGAAATTCTCCTGTCTCAGCCTCCAGAGCCACTAGGATTATAGGCATGCACCACTGTGCCTGGCAACTTTATTTATAATATTATAATCTAATCTAAAAAAGTCCTGTAGTGGATATTTCTGTACAGAAGTGAAATATATTTTGTATTTTTGTCACATGCTGTTGTATATGTATTTATGCCACGTACTAGTAGTTTTATTATCAAAATTCATTGTATCAAATTGCAAAAAAAAAAATAGAACCTACCATATGACCAGCTATAGCAATAAAAGTCAGCATGCAATAGAGACCTGCAAACCCCTGTTTATGTGGTACCATACACAATAGCCAGGTACAGAATCAGCCCAGATGCCCATCAAGAGACAGAGGGATAAAGAAGAGGCCATATATGTGTGTGTGTGTGTGTGTGTATACACACAATGGAGTATTGTCCAGCCATAAAGAAGGAGATCATCATGTTAAACAAAATAAACCAGACTCAGACAAGTATCATATGTGGAATCTAGAAAAAAAGACAAGAAAGTAGAAGAGGACCATTAAGGAAAGGGACCAGGAGGAGGGGAGGGGTGGGGCAAAGGATAATAGGGAGTTCATTTTATATATATATATATATATATATATATATATATATATATATATATAAACATTTCACAAACCCATTTTGTATAATTGATGTGCATTAATATAATAGAAATTAGGGTTGGGGTTGTGGCTCAGCAGTAGATCGCTCACCTAGCATATGCAAGGCCCTGGGTTCAATCCTCAACACCACATAAAAATAAATAAATAAATAAAATAAAAAGGTATTCTGTCCAACTACTACTAAAAAATAAATAGTTAAAAAAAATTAAAAATAGAAATTAATGGAAAATGTGAAAGAAGAAAGAAGTAGCCATTCCTATTCTGGGAGACTCAAGGGAGGTATACACAGATATGTCATTCACTTCTAGTCTTTGATGGTAGGAACCACAAAGTGGAGTTTACATTCTAGAAAAGCCCACTTTATCTTCTAGAAAATTCTACATTATCACTGCAAATAGGATTTTATTTCCAAAAGAGTATTGCTTTTGAGCAAGAGATTTGGAGTCACAGAGATGAAGGTTGAGAAAGTGAAATGTGTGATGGCATTTCTCAAGTACAAGAAGGAAACAATGCTGTGCTTTGATTAGGAGGCTGCTTTTGTAACAGAGAATGTAAGTGGCATTTAAGTGGAAGTCTGCAGTTTCTTGGCCCCAAACAATGTGGTGATTTTTTTAATTGATTTTTTTTAAATAAATAACAGCGGAATGCATTACAATTCTTATTACACATATATAGCACAATTTTTCATATATCTGGTTGTATGTAAAGTATATTCACACCAATGCATGTCTTCATACATGTACTTTGGATAATGATGACCAATCACATTCCACCATCCTTGCTAACCACCCTGCCCGCTTTCTTCCCCTCCCACCCCTCTGCCCTATCTAGAGTTTGTCTATTCCTCCCATGAAAGTTTTCCATTGTATTCATTTTTACTCTAAGAAAGGCAGGGAAAGCAGAGCTGTATTGTTAGGATCATCATGACAAACACAGCTAATGTAGATGTTGGACCTATAGTGTATTTGTGTGCACAGAGAGCAGGAGGAGTGTAAAATATATCATGAAATTATATCTGATAAACAGAATAATTACTCTTGCCTAAAATTTAAGTGCACAGCCAGGAAAGTGAATAGTGATGCATTACATCCTTGCTGAATACTGGGTAAGAAAATCATGGTGAACGTCGAGTCTGTTGTGGAACTATTCTAAAAAGAGATGATTATTAACACAGTGAGCCATTTTAAACATAGCTTGCTTCATGTTTGGAAAGAAACATGTTCAACAAACATTGGATTCTTGGCGGATTCCTTACTCAGCTGTTTTTCCCTTGCCCCATTACATTCCAGATTTACAGCCTGTATCATGTCTGGAGCCAGCAGGAAGCCTGCTCTTTTCCTCTTCATCTGTTATGTCGCTGCCCTGGGAGTCCAGGCCGGGGAGTACTGTGTGGCTGACCATCAGGGATCTCAGTATTACATGGCGGCCGTGTATGAGCACCACTCGATCCTGAGTCCCGACCCTCTAGCTCTCACCACCCGCCAGCAGGCCTTGGAGCTCATGAACCAGAACCTCGACATCTATGAACGGCAAGTGATGACTGCAGCCCAGAAGGCAAGAAACGCTCCTCGGTTATGACCCGGGCTCCTCTCATAGAACAGAACAAAGGGTGCTTTGACCCTCAAGCAGTGGTTGGGTGACCCTAGGCTTCCTACGACCTCTGTGAAAGTCAGTCCAGCAAGTAAGCCTGATTTGACTTAGGTGGCTAGAGTCTTGCTATTCGGAGAGTGGTCCGTGGTCCAGTAGCATCAGCAGCACTTGAGAACGTGTTAGAAATGCAGAATTTTAGGCCCCACCAAATCAGAATCTGCATTTTAGCAAGATCCTCAGGCGATGAGGCCCTTCAAGTTTGAGAAGCCCTGGGTTCAGTCACAGGTTCTCCATGTGGCCGTGGGCAGGAATCACTGGGCCAATTATAAACACTAGAGGTTCCTGGATCCCTAGGGAGCCATTGTCTAGATGGTCCAGATGGAGTGTGATCCAGGCACTGGAATTTTTTTAAACAATCTCCCCGGGGGATTCTAATGTGCAGAAAAAAATTGAAAACCACTGAGCATGATGAGCACCACAATTTGTGAGGCATTCATAGCTCACCTGAAAAAGTCACTGTCCAAAGAACTGCCATTTTTGCTGCCTGCAGATTATCTGGGGCTCACTTCATCTCTTATGTCAGACTAAACAGTTTGAGACCTTTGCCCAGATAGAGCTCACTCCAAGTCAAAGGGCCGGTCAGTGCCAGCCTTTTTAAAGGCTTCCTGCCTGGCCTCATTCCCCTCCTACCAGGAAGCCTGAGGATGGAGGAGAGGTGCCCCATAGGGCAGAGGGGAATGTCAGTGTCAGAAGTGAGCAATTCCCTTCTGGGAAAACCATAACCAGAGGAGATTGGGCTTTAACCCTGGACCAAACCCTGCTGCTTCAGAAGGCCCTGCTCTGCCTCCAGGGAAGTTTAAGGTAAAGAAAATTCCATGGGTGTAAAAACTTCTCTGTTGTCATGGGTTTATAAAGGGCAGACCCGGTCCTGCTAAGAGGTCTTGCCCTGCAGGTCCCCTCTCTTTAAGCAGGTCAGGATGGCCTGGAAAGACATCTGTCACTTCATTTAAAAATTCTAACCTAGGAACTGAGGATATGGCTCAAGTGGTAGTGCACTCGCCTGGCATGAGTGCGGCCTGGGTTCGATCCTCAGCACCACATACAAAGATGTTGTGTCTGCCAAACACTAAAATATAAATAAAATATTAAAACAAATAAAAAGATTACAGATCAGGGATGAGAATATAGCTTAGTCACTAGAGTGCTTTTTTTTTAATATTTATTTATTTAGTTAGTTATCGGCAGACACAACATCTTTGTTGGTATGTGGTGCTGAGGATCGAACCTGGGGCCGCACGCATGCCAGGCGAGCGCGCTACCGCCTGAGCCACATCCCCAGCCCACTAGAGTGCTTTTTTTTAAAAAAAAAAAAATTCTAGCCTAGAGTACATATACCTAGAATACACAGAGACATATATACGTGTACATATCTGAAACTGATGCTGGAAGGGAGCTTCTGATGGGTGACGCACTGCTCTTTGTCCCAGCTGACTCTAGTTTCTCCTTGAACACCTTCAGGGGCCCAGAACTCACTGTTCGTAGGTCCACTTGTCCAGTGGTGGGAACTTCTGGATAGGCCTTTCTTTCAGTGAGCAGTTCTGTCCTGGAGCTAAAGAACAGAGCCCAAGTCCTGTACACAGTGCCATCTTCTTCACACTTGAGGCTGACTGCCCCGGCCCCCTGCATGTCACCCCAAGGCTGTTAATCTCCAGTCCCATCCCAATTCCTTGGGGGCTTCCATCTCCAGCCCTGTGCTCACAGCTGTGTGCTGCTCTCCAGGTGCTGGCTGATGGCGCAGGCTTCACCTCCCTCATTCCAGACCTTGTCCCCTGCAAACTTGGCAGTGACTTCTCTCTGTGGATTCACAGAGCTCTTGCTGTCAACTAAAACTCCTGTGCCCTTCTCTCACACAGACACATGTGCTGCCATTACTTCCTGTACTTAGGAAGCTGATTGAGCACAAGAGCAAGCCTTCACACTAATGTCATTAAATGTCATCATTTTAGTCCAAAAGGTGATTTAGGGATCTTTACTGGACCTCCCACATTTCAATTTCCTGCACATCATTCACACTTTTGGTACATACCTCATTTGTGTCTCTGCTGAAGTCAGTGTAAAAAAAAAAAAAAATCCCAGCCATGCCCACAGACGACCTGCTGCCCCTGATCCAGTCGAGGGCAGCATTCCTTGGGTGGAAGTGTTTGCTGCACTGCACTGAGTCTAGCACCTCAGTTTCACCCTCTCTTGCTTCTCTATCCTGTTCCCAAGACCATCCTGGGACATTCAGCAGATAGATGCTGCACTGAAAGCCAGAGACTGTGACTAGGTTTCCCCAGCTTTCCAGTTTTAATGGAAACTGGTGCCATGGTTTTGAGGAGCCTGCACAGGCTGCAAGATACCATTCCATTACTAGTGGTCCAGGAGCGGAGATGGAGCTGATCAGAGGATCCCTTTGGTGCTCACTGGTCGCTCAGCTGCCCTACATGGCTGCGTGTGTTAAAGCAGCTGCTTAGACAAACTGATGGGGAGCATGTGTCAGAGTTGTCCATCAGATTTACTTTAAGGGCACAGGTTCCTAAACAAGCCAGCTAAAGTGTTGCTCTCTTGTAGGAGGCACTGAGGTAGGGGTGGAGGGAGGAGTTCACAGCTAATTAGTGTGGTCAGGCACTTGGTTGGTGACCTTTGTTCCTTAGAGGGAATTCTTTTTTTTTTTTTTTTTTTTTTTTAGTATTTATTTGTTAGCTTTAGGTGGTGCTGAGGATTAAACCCAGTGCCTTGTGGATGCTAGGCGAACACTCTACCACTGAGCAGCCACAACCCAGCCCCTAGAGGGAATTCTTGATCTCAGCAAAGTCTATGAGAAAATGGCTGGTGGTGCTCATCGGGAGTGCTCACATCAGACCCAGAGTTCTGCCCAGCTCATGCTTGGTTCCCAGCCTCATTCCTGGCTGCTATGTACTCAGGAAATGCAATTTAATGTTCATCTTAATCTAATATGTATACATAAATCCATAAGGAACCATCCAGTGCTCTCAGTTTTGATTTGAATAAAGGAAAATATTTGTCCATGTGTAAATTTTAAAAAGTTAAAAGCATAACTCTTATGCAAATATGAATGAACAAAATTTTTATTTAATGCATTAACTAATGAAGGAACCAATAACATGGTAAAACTGATTCAAAGGAGAATTTGAAGAATGGAAATGTGTCTATCAGCAGCTCAGGGAATAGTGAAATGAATTTGCTAGTAGATACACAGCTGACTTTAAAGGTCCTATAGGATAACACAGTTGAAGTGAGCTTTTAAGTAACAAACAGTGACACATTCTCTGGATAATTAAATAATCCTTGAGTGAGCCTGTTGATCAATATCCCAATATAATTTGGAAATATACGGATTCTTTTTCTTACCTTACTCCAAGTTTGTGATGATTTTTTTATTTATATAGTCACTACTTAGAATGGGTCARTCTCACAGGGTGCTATGCATTGATATGACCTTTCTGGAAATCTATTTGACAATGTGTGTTAAGAACTTAAAATTTAGCCAAGTGTGGTGATACATGTCTGTTTTCCACCACTCAGGAGGCTGAGGCAGAAGGATCACAAATTCAAAGCCAGCCTCAGCAACTTATTAAGGCCCAAGGTAACTTAACAAGATGCTGTCTCAAAATAAAAGATGAAAAGAGTTGGGGATGTGGCTCAGTGGTTAAGCACCCCACACACACACACACACACCTGGGGTTCAATCCCTAGTTAAAAAAAAAAAATCCCCAACTGATTTAGAACAGAATGAAGTTGAGAACTACTAGAGTAGAGAGACACCTCATCTGTTAATGGGTCCAGTGTTTGAGGCCCTTTGTAAACAGCTCCAGCTCCAATTTCACCACCGAGAACTCCACACCCCTTCTAGAAGCCTGCCTGGTAAATTCCTGCTCCTTCAGCAGCTTACTCACCCTCCTTCCCTGACACACTCAGGCACAAGTGATGCTTGTTCCTGGAGGACTTTGTCTTTGCGCCATTAGGGTTGGACTAAGCAAGCCAGCATCCCCAACACTAGGATCCCTGATGAGAGTCCAGCCACCAGCTCTGTGTCTCTGGCTCTGGTATAGTTAACACCCTGGTGGTTGCCCAGGGTGTGAGCTAGTGAATGAAGTGGTGCTTCTAGATGTCTGATACCAGACTACACTGTGCTGTTCTGACTCGCAGGGCGTGCAGATCATAGTGTTTCCAGAAGATGGCATCCACGGCTTCAACTTCACAAGAACGTCCATTTACCCATTTTTGGACTTCATGCCATCTCCCCAGCTGGTCAAATGGAACCCGTGCCTGGAGCCCCACCGTTTCAATGACACAGAGGTACTTGAAGGCCTTAGTCTTCCTCTTCAGCAGGCCAAGGGTGTTGTGGGGCAGGTCGCTCAGAAAACACACCAAGTCCTAATTTTGTCCAAATTGAAGAGTCTTTATTTAGCTGGCCAGCCAGCGACTGCTTCCCACAAGACCCATAACTGTCTCTGCAAGAAACAGCCCTGAACCTGAGCATTTTAGGATATTTAAAGGCAAAAAACACATCCGGGTTGATGTAGCTGCAAGCAAGCAGGTACAGAACCTGAATTGGGCAGTTAGCGAGACAATGTCATGGGCATATTGGTTTTTCCCACAGGACTTTCCAGGTTGGCATAGCAGCAAGCAAGCAGAAGGGAAGTGGGTCAAAATGACCCTAGTTCAGTACAAGTTAGAGAATGGTTACTAAAGTCTAGACAATCAATCTCTGACAAGGTACATTGCCCAAGAAAAATGGAAACCAAAGAGAACAATTTTCCATTGTATAAGAAGTGCTATTTTGTGTTGCCAAGTATGCTATGTTAGGTAACTATTAATGGGTACAGAGGCAGGGCTTTCCCATGGGAGAAGCATTTCTTAAGTGATATGGAGTCTCCAGGTAAAATGGAGTCTGTTTGGTCATTGTCCATATAGCCTGGCCCATAACAGAGGGCATGCCAAGGTGAACCAAGTGAGTGCCTGAAAGCCACAGCATGCTGAGATATAAAGGAGACCCAAGGACCCCCAAAACTGAACCCAAACTCCATGTGCTATACATTCAGTTAAAGACTGTCCAGAGCTGGGTGTGGTGGCACTTGTCTGTAATCCTAGCAACTTGGGAGACTGAGGCTGGAGGACTGCAAGTTCTGGAAGCCAGCCCTTGCAACATAAGGAGTCGCTGTCTCTAAATAAATAAAAAGGGCTGAGGGTGTGGCTTGGTGGTCAAGTGCCCTGGGTTTAATCCCAGTGTAAAGCAGAAAGGGGCGCGTGAGATCAGGAACCATGGAACCAGAATGAGGCACCAAAAGAAGGTTTATTGGGGGGCGCTCCGGGGAGAGGTTCACCAATCCACCAAAGGGTGAGGGCCAGGGAAGCCGCAGGCGGGAAAGGCAAGAACAGTACTAATAAGGGAACTGGAGGGGGAGGGCCCAGGCCATCTACACTGCAGCTASGACAGCAGGTTGGCCTGCCGAGTTTAGGGGGATCTTGTTGGTCGCAGGTTGGTCAGGGCTGGTTGGATTGACARGGCGATTGCTTCTGCCTGCGAGAACCGTGTTGGTTGGGGTCCGTTGCCATGTCAGCTTCTGATTGGCCATTTCGGGTCAGCCAGGTGGAAAGTCCTGCCCCGCAGCCGCCAAGAAAGGAGAGGGGTCAGGGAAACCTGCTGACCCAACACCTAGTACTGCAAAGGAAAAAGGAAAATCTATTATTGTAAGGCATTTACTCTATGGATATTTAATTTATTAATTACACAAGAAATATATGAATATAAACTTAAACATGCCAAACAGAAGTTAAAAAGAGAAAAAAAAAGTAAAAGTTCACCTTCACCACAGCCCATTCTCATCCTACTTCCTTTCATAGAGAAACATCCATTTGCTATGTATCCAACTATACCCTTTTCTATGCATTTTATATTTATTGACATCCTTTTTTAGCATGGTACATGCTTATTATATTCTTAAAACTCTTGATATCAAGAGCAACATTCAATGAATRTCCTTGTACATATATTTTCAGAAACATGTCCAAGTGCTTCTGTAAGGTGAAATTCTTGGAAATGGGATTTCTCAAAGGCTGTGCACATTTTACATTATTTTAAAGAGTAACAAACCTCTTCCTCAAGAGATTTTTATTTCACTTTCTATCTCTAATAATAGTCATTAAGCCCTATTTTCTCACCTTTTGGTCAGTGCAAGATAGAATAACCTTTAGAATTTTTGCCAATCTAATGAAGGTGAAAAATAATATCCATTGTTATTTTAATTTGCATTTCCCTATAACTCATGTGGTTCAGCTTCTTTTCAGATATTTCTTGGCCATTTGTTTTGTTCTTCCTGAGTCACCTGTTCATCTCCTTTGCATGTTTTCAGTGGTGATTTTTTTTCTTATTGACCTATGAGAGCTCTTTGCATATTGTGAATGCAGTGAGGAATTTTTCTATTAAAAATATGAGACAAAAGGCAGAATATTTAAAATCCACATATTTATGCCCTTTTTCTCCGCCCTCYCCCAGGTCCTCCAGCGCTTGAGTTGCATGGCCACCAAGGGAGATATGTTCTTAGTGGCCAACCTTGGGACAAAACAGCCATGTCATAGCAATGACCCAGGGTGCCCAAATGATGGAAGATACCAGTTTAACACAAATGTCATTTTCAGCAATAATGGAACCCTTGTTGACCGCTACCGAAAACACAACCTCTACTTCGAGGCAGCTTTTGATACCCCTCTTGAAGTGGATCGCGTCACTTTCGATACCCCCTTTGCTGGCAGGTTTGGCATCTTCACCTGCTTTGACATATTGTTCTTCGACCCTGCCGTCAGACTGCTGAGAGACCCCGAGGTGAAGCACGTGGTGTACCCGAGCGCCTGGATGAACCAGCTCCCGCTCCTGGCGGCCATCGAGATTCAGAAAGCCTTTGCCATTGCCTTTGGTGTCAACGTCCTGGCAGCCAACATCCACCACCCATCTCTGGGGATGACAGGGAGTGGCATACACACCCCTCTGAAGTCCTTCTGGTACCATGACATGGAAAGCCCCAAAGGTCACCTTATCATTGCCCAGGTAGCCAAAAATCCACTGGGTCTTGCTGGAACAGAGAATGCAACAGGTAAAACAGACCCTTCCCACAGTAGGTTTTTAAAAATCGTGTCAGGTGAGCCATACTGTGAGAAGGACGCTCAGGAAGTCCACTGCGAAGCCGCCAAGTGGAACGTGGATGCTCCTCCCACCTTTCACTCTGAGATGATGTATGACAACTTCACCCTGGTCCCCGTCTGGGGAAAGGAAGGCTATCTCCAAGTCTGCTCCAACAGCCTCTGCTGCCATTTGCTGTATGACAGGCCCACCCTGTCCCAAGAGCTCTATGCCCTGGGGGTCTTTGATGGCTTCCACACTGTGCACGGCACTTACTACATCCAAGTGTGCGCCCTGGTCAAGTGTGGGGGTCTTGACATCCATACCTGTGGGCAGGAGATCACAGAGGCCACRGGGATGTTCGAGTTTCACCTGTGGGGCAACTTCAGCACTTCCTATATCTTTCCTCTGTTTCTGACCTCAGGGATGACCCCAGAATCCCCTGACCAGCTTGGCTGGGAGAATGACCACTATTTCCTGAGGAAGCGTGGACTGTCCTCTGGTCTGGTGACAGCAGCTCTTTATGGGCGRTTGTATGAGAAGAACTAGGACAAGTGTGTGATTTGTGAGTGGGCCCTGGCTGTCACATGGCAGCCCCACCCCTCCACAGGCCACAGAGCATGTACACAGGAACACCTCCCCCTGGGGGTGGCCGCCCACTTCTAGAGCACCAGATCCCACCTGGGAACTGTGGGAAGRGGTAGGAGAGGCAGGTTCCCTCTTCCTCCTACATGTCAGTGCTTGAGATGTTTTCTGGTATTTTCTATTAATATTTGTCTTTTCAAGCCACATCTTCCTCTAGCACATCTCTCAGTACACAATCGGTTTTAAGATCTGAAACAAAAATAAATGTCAGTTGATATTTTACACACCCACAAAGCAGTGGTTCATTTTTTTCCTTGTTAATCAGGTGACACCCRGATGTGTAAATATTTTACAAGCCTTGCCTGTTCTCTAAAGTAAGAAACAAACTCTCAAGAGCAAAAGAGAACTGCTGTGAGGACCTTTCCTGTTCTGGTCAGCTGAACTCCATCCRGATGAAGTGGATTAATCCTGTAATCCTGAATTAATTCTTAATCCAAGTATTTGGCTTATGTCTGTACTCTTCATGACCATAGGTAGATTTTTTTAAATGAACTTACCCTCGTTAATCATCAACAGGTAGAAAACAATAACGAGAGTAAGGAAATCTAGATGGCGTTCCTCTATGTCTTGCTTTGTGCATAAGCTCTGACAGGTTCATCTTACTGTGGGCACTTTTGTATATACATGGTGTTATAAGTACTTGGGAGACCTGTCTCTCACCTACCTTCCTTTCACCTAATTTATAGAGAAAGGCTGAAGCTCAAGGGATCTAGGTTTCTTAGAAATGAAAAAGTATGCACAGTGATTAATACTTGAATTTTAAAATGATTAAAATTGATGCCTTGCAATGCTCTTTTTAAAACTTTTTATTTAGTTTGATTCTTTAGACTACTAACAGTAAACTAGARCTATAGGCAGCCTTAAAACTTGGTTGGAAGTTTTGTTGGGAAATCATTTTACAGATGGAAAGGGATCTTAGCAGCAACCCATGCCATCATCTGTTAATTCCACCACTTTCCTTTTCTTGAGTTTTTTTTCCACTGACTCTCCACAGGCTCTCTCAAATAAAAAGTCAATCATATCCCAGTGCTCAGGAAGTTGAGGCAGGAGGATCAGAGTTCAAAGCYAGCCTCAGAAAAAGCAAGGCACTAAGCAACTCAGCAAGACCCTGTCTCTAAATAAAATATTAAAGAAAAGGGGCTCGGGGTGTGGCTCAGTGATTAAATACCCCTGCGTTCAATCTCTGGGACCAAAAAAAAAAAAATCGTGAAACCTTCAGTTGGAATTAGTGGGGTTTTTTTTTTCAATTTTAATGTTGCTTTATTTTATATGCTTTAATTCATTGTTACTCCAACAATTAGCCAGGAGAGGGTGAATAAGAACTTTTGATTTACTATGTATTACTTGTTAAATTCCTGTTTGGAATATTTTGATTTGATTACAGTAGTTTGTGTTTGCTTGATAATTCCTTTTATGAAACGTTTGAGAGCTTGAAAGTGTTGTGGGTTTTCAGGAAGCTCTGTCTCTGTTAGTTTAAACATTGCATTTAATTCATCAAATACATATGAGGGCTTTGAGGAGTGTAAGACAATGTGCTAGATGTGAGGGTGTACACACGGACCCCAACCTCAAGACRTCTTTCAGATCTTGAAACCGTTGGTTGATACAATAATGGTTTCACTGGAGAATTGAAATCTAAGTCCAGCGGTTCATGTTTCTATCAGCATGCTGTAAAAGATGATGAGAAATAAATAGAATTAAGTTTAGGAGAGATTACATAGTACCATTCTTTTTATAGAGAAATCAAGGACCAAAGAGGTGACATAGTACACCCAATAATTGTGACTATGCAGAAACATAAGGCTATGATTACCAACTTGAGACAAAAGTCTGAAACAGTGTAATAGAAATCTTAAAGTTCAAGGATTTATTTGAAGGGAAGATAGGAAAAGTAACTGTTCAGGGGGCGTAGTTTTAAAATACGCTTGCCATCAGTTTTTATCATATGCTAGCCACTATACAGCGTGGTAAATCAATATTAAATCACCAACAACAGAATAAAGTAGAGTCTATGCTCATTCAACAAGTAATTGCATGTGAAATTTATTGAGCCCTTTTAAATGTCAGGTTAAGTATTTTCAGTATCTYATTTGTGCTTCTTAAGAAAGTCATTATCACTCCACTTACTGATGGGGAAATTGAGATTTAGGAAGTTATGTAATTTCACCAATGTCTTTTACCTACTAAATAAAGCGTGAGAATTTAGACTGGGTTGGCTTGACTCCATAGCCTCTGTCCTCATACCCTGGCTTATGGTTTCACTAGGAAACATTAGGAAACACAAAAAACCATAAGCCACCCTCTAACATCRTGTACCCAAGCTTTGTACTTTTCACTTGAAACACTGGAACCTAAATGTGGACCATAACAGTACAGATTTTAATAACTTTGACAGCACTGATTTTAGTATTAGGATATGAGATRCTGAAATTGAACTAAAGTAGAATAAATGATCCACTAGGGGATTTAATCCTTTGAATAGTTTGAGCACTAAAATCAAAGACTTTGCCGAGTATATCATCAAGTTATCTGTATTATATAAGAACCTGCCAATATACAACATCTTTGAGTATTTATGCCTGAGGAAAATAATTAATATGTGCCAGGCATTGTCCTTGCTGCTATAATAAATAGGAAGGGTGCTAAACTTGCCCTCAAGTTGCTCAACATCTCTACCCTTAGTACAGGAATTCACTTTAATAGAGCCCTGCTTKTTCTAAGTGCCTATACTGTACCATGTATGGTACAGTGATCCAAATCACTGCTGTATGACTGGAAAGAACAGAGTATTAAACCAATTGGGGGAATCACTGTCTGGGAGAAAGAAGCAGGTGCTGCTTGGATAACATCTGATCTGGAACTTCATTCAGAAGATAATGAGGGAGGAAAAAAAGTCAATATGTGCAAAGGTAGAAAGGTATGAAAGTATGGGTCTTGTTCAGGGAGAAATAAACATGCACCTATGTGTCTAGGTCATAAGGTGAATAAGGCCAAGAAAGGCAGAGTGGGGCTAGATTATGCATGACTTTCTATGTCTTGCTAAGGCTATTTTGAGTTTGTAGAATCACCCAAGTTTGTATTATCATTTTATTTGGATATGCTGAGACATATACAAAAGCAGACAAGATGATGAACCTCCTCGTACCTAACACCCACCTTCAACAATTATTGTGGTCAACCCTATCCATCACCCTTACTCTGCTCCATCATACTTTGAAACAAATCCCTAAACTATCTGATTTTATCCACAAATATTTTCCTATGTATCTCATTTTAAAATATATTTCATCAAAAGTCTGTATCCAARGGCTGGGGTTGTGGCTCAGTTGTAGAGCGCTTGCCCAGCATGTGTGAGGTACTGGGTTTGATTCTCAGCACTGCATATAAACAAATAAAAGTCCATTGACAACTAAAACAAAAATTTTTAAAGTCTGTATATAGTTGATGTTTGAATTTCCAGTGTCTTCACAAACTCTCCTACTTTTAAAATTGTAATAGTCCACACATTGAAATTGGCATTTCTCGGGGCTGGGGTTGTGGCTCAGCAATAGAGTGCTCACCTAGCATGTGCGAGGCCCTAAGTTCGATCCTCAGCACCACATAAAAATAAAGATATTGTGTCTATCTACAACTAAAAAAAAAAAACAAAATTAAATTTAAAAAGAAATTGGCATTTCTCTTAAATCTCTTAATTGGGGTTCTTCATATTATACTCTCTTTTTTTCTTCCCTTTTGTAATTTATTTGTTGAAGACAATGGTTGTTTTCCTTATAGAGTTTTCCACAGCTTGAATTTTGCTAGCGCATCCTACCCACATCATTTAATATGTTCTCCCTTTATTTATTTATTTATTTTTGGTACCAGGGATTGCATTCAGGGGTGCTCAACTCCTGAGCCACATCCCCAGCCCTATTTTGTATTTTATTTAGAGACAGGGTCTCACTGAATTGCTTGGTGCCTGGCTGTTGCTGAGGCTGGCTTTGAACTCCCAGTCCTCCTAACTCAGCCTCCCTCACTGCTGGGATTACAGTGTGCCCGGCTGTATTCCCCTTTTAAGTGTATTTCTTGTATTGAATCTAGAGGCTTGATGGATTCAGCTTTACTTTTTTATAAGAAAAACTATTTCATGGGTGATTCCTGGTGTGTTTTTTCAGGAGGCTCACAATGCTCTGTATAGTGTAGTTTAAAACTTCCTATAACCAAGCACCTTGGGCAAGTTATGTTACGTTTGAGGACTTCAATGTCTTTGTTTAAAAAAAAATGGATATAGCAGTGCCTACTATGTTCACAGACTGTATTGAGAACAAGATATTGCAAATAAAAAAGGTGAGCACAGTGCCAATCACAGTGTGACCCAGCGCTGTCTACAACACAGTCCCTGCCCACGTAAGCAGGCAGCCAGAAAATCCTCTCCCATCTGGAGTAGAAGAGTCTAATCATGTTCAGAAAGAGCAGAGACCTTCAGAAAACACATCTTCAACAATCCTTGGGCAATAAGTAAGCCTAATCCCCACAGCCCTGTGGGACACAATGGTAGAAAAATAGGGTACCAAAGCGGGGACTTAGGCTGTCCAGTTGGCCTCTGTAGCCGCAGAGCCTAAAGCACCTGATACTAGGCACTAAGTGACTGAGAGACTAACAAGGAGGCCTTAGGCCCCTATTACCATCTAGGGGTGCTGGGTTCGTTGCCTCGTTCAGCAAATTGAAKAACAGGATACAGAAATAGCAAGCAAGAGTGGGTTTACTGCAAAAGTGAAAGAGATACAAAGATAGACTTCTTGGAACAGAAGGGACCCCAGAGCTGGAAATCCAGTGGGGAAGTTTTGGCCTGTTCTTTTTATGGTCTTTTATGGTCTCTAGAATTTCCTCCTTTCCTTAGCTCCTCCCACTTTGCCCACCATTACTGATTGACGCCCCCTCTGTCCACAAGTTTTTAATTTTTCTATTGGATTCCSACGCTTAGGAGCATGCATTTGGAAGTGTCTGGCTTGTGCCCACAAACACTTTTATCAATAAGCAAGAAGTTGACCTCATCAGAAGACCCTCTCCATGCTCCTTTGTTCTGCYCCCCACCACCTGCCCTGCCCTGGATGCCTAAGCCCTTCCAGCTCTCCCTCATTCTGAAATTCCAAAGCAAGACACTTGTCCCAAGGCCAGCTTCTCCAAGATCCTCAGGCTCTTCCATCCATAATGCACCTACCACATTAACACAAGCTYCCAACTCAGACTGCCATCTGGACATCCTTCTGTTCCTCAATCACCAGGAAATCCTTTCCAGACTCTCCCAGCACYAATGCGATCTGGCTCCAGCTGCACAGAAACTGTTCTGGACAAGACGCATGTGCAATGCAGTGTATTTCCACCCCTGCAGGATACCAGAAATGGGAAGGTGTTAATCATGGACATGGCAAATTCCAGGCTAGTTCTTAAAGTAAGRTCAGGTCTGTAAGGACAAACGGCACACACATGTCAAAGGCAAGAGATGGGAAGCAAACCACTGATCAGAAGGCTTTTCCTTATTCAGTATTTAGCAGCCCAGTCAATTGGTGGCTGGCATGGCTCATTTTCAGGGCAGAAAATGGCAGTGGGTCACAGCAAGGACCTGGGTTATATAGGCTTCTTTTAGGGTGGGACAGGAGGGCAATTCCTGGYGTTCTTATATAGGGGTCCAGCTCAGTCATTAGCCTGGGATGGGAATGTGAATAGGGAATTCCTGGGGCTTATTGTATTGGCATCAGGTGACCCATTAGGGTGGGGGATCAGGTSCCAGACAGGTGGAGTTCCTTTTGTGTTCCTTTTCTGGCTAAGGCCTGGGATTTAAAATGACAAAAGCTTAGGGAAAATGTCCTTGGACTTATTTTCCATATCTTTCAAGGTCAGGCTCACCTGAGAATAAATGAAGACTAGAACTGGCGGATTTCCTGAAATTCATCAGGATCCTGATAAATTACGAAGCCTCACCTTACAAATGGTCTAAAAAGGAGTAGGGGAACAGAGTCCCCTAAAGTTTCAGGTCTCCGTTTTTTTTTGGGGGGGGGGTTGTTTGTTTGTTTGTTTTGTTTTGTTTTTTGTCAGAAAT